AAAAGTTGGGGACCCGTAAAGGGTACCGGAAAATGTACAAACATTGTTAAACCGTAAAAAGAAGAAGTATTGAATTCTGAAAACTTTTATACAAACACTGTACGTTACAATCTGTTTAATTTCTGATGCTGTAATTTCATGCTTCTAACAAATATAAATACATTTCAGACCAATCAACTATGGGATAAAAAGATGCTTAATATATAAATTATTTTAGATTCACAGAAATGGTATTGTGCAAACACATAAGAAAACAATAAAGAATACAGTAGGCTCTGATTAATTGGGCCATCAGTAGCATAAATATTTTTCTCTGATCTACACCATTTGTTCCAGAATTCATTTAAATTATTTTTTTAACATTTTTTTTAACTTTTTTAACTCTTTATATGGAACTTCGCATAATTGAGGCAGCCACTTAATTGGGCCAAAGTTTTCTAGCCCCGATGTGTCCGAATTAACCGGAATCCACTGTATATGGTCAAAATGTACAATTTATGAGAGATATGAAATTTCAAGCCTGGATTGCATCCCAGTCCATTTGTGCATAGTCTGGGCTGACTGGTAGGTTCTGAAAGGATATCGGCATGTGGTGACGACCAGGACATACAATCAGATGTAACGTAGGATGAAGTCTTTGACAAACACTATATCAAGGCGTCAGGTTGCATTACATGTGAAAGGAGCGGCGGTTTCAGGAGTCCAGTCCATCAAGTATGAGTTTCTTTTGGCTTAATCACACAGAAGCAAATTCCTAGCAGTGATCAGCCAAGAATTCAAGTCCACACGCTTCGCGGTGAGATCTCCTGCTATCAATTAGGGAAATCCTGTGCAGAACTGGTATTAGTTGGAATACGTAAAGCAAGAGTGAAGAAACGTATTTAACTTCTGCTAAAGGCAAAGCGATCCTAGTTTACTTTTGAGACGAACACAGACTTGAAAGAAAAAGTCAATAGATTGTTATTCATAGGAAGTGGGCTGAAGTAGTTGAAAATGTAGCACATCATAATACGAGGTGCGATCGGAAAGTTTCTAGACTGCGCCTATAAAAACCCGTACACTTATCTCAGGTATTAAATTCATCCATCACCCTCGAAGTAGT